GGGCGCAGGCACTCCCAGCTGGGTATTCTGTTAGTGAGCAGGTGAGGGAAAGTGGGAGGGGGGTGGTGGTATAGCCTTGGTCCATAGGAACACCTTAACCATGATCACAAAGCCTAACCCTAACCCTAACCCTGAGTTTGCAAGACCTGAGCAGAGCAGAGGAGGGTGGGGAGTCTTGGAGATGTCTCATCCACAGGGTCACCAGAAGTCAGGGATGATTCAAAGGCAGTAGTTAACAACAACAGCAAAACAACCTCTGTTGCATTTTCACTTCACTTTCCCACTAAAAAGGTACTCAAGGTGGCTAACAGTTGTATCACTCAGTTTGGCAAACTGGCAGCCTTGGATTTTAGGTGACAAATTCAGGGACTGTTGGATTTAGAAGGTACTCCTGAGGGCTACCAAGTCCAGCCGCGGTGGCAAATCTACAGCTAAAGCCGCCCTGGAAGACTGGCCATGCAATCTCTGTTAAAAATGTCCAAGGACAGAGAATCCCAGGAGGGGAACTATGGTAATTATTTTTCACAAGTAACGGTCCCAGCTCACTTTTGCTCTTCTTTGCAGATGAGGAGCATCGTGCCTGCTAGGGGATCCCTGGCCAAACCCACTGACTGGTTGCCCAAAACAGGGGTCAGTGTGGCAAACGGGGGGTGGGGGGGGGAAGGGAGACCTTTCCTTTCCTCAGAAAGAGAGCTGGTGGTGCTCAGGTGTGTGCAAAGGAGCCACATCCCTTCACCCTTTTGGAAGCCTTCTACTTGCCTTGGCCAAACCGGGGAGAGAAGGCTCTCCAGCCGGCTCCTTCCAAGAGCTTCAGAAGGACCCTCTTGGCCAGGTGGGTGTTTCTGCCGTGCGCTTACCTTCTCCTTCAGAAGTGGGCAGGCATTTTGGTCGGATGAGGAGTGGCTGCATTCAGTTCAAGGTTGTGGAAGCAGAGGAGTGCCTGCAGGGCTGGTCTGCACTGATGTGCACTGTGGTCTGCATGAGTGTGCACATTGCAAATGCATGTCCAGTGGGATGTGTGTGTGGCTGCACACTCACTGGCTTGTTTCAGTTGTG